GCTCTTCCATCCTACATATAGTGAAAATTTGGATTTATGGTTATCAAAGCAATGAACCTGGTGCAACTGCCAGAAAAAAAGTAAACAGTGAAATCACAAAGTATGAGTTGTACGAAACCAGGCATGCAAGGTCTTGGGGTTCATACCTCTCGGTGTTGTCATACTTTCCCAGAATACATAAGATTGCCTCATAACATACCCTTTCACTCGGATCCAGGAGTAGCTGATAGAGAATCGAGTTGAACTGAGATCTAATATCAGGCCTTTCTGTAGTGAGACAGAGAAGAAACTAATGACAAAACATTCTCAAAATGAAACTACATTATACCAGATAGTCACAAAAAAATAACAGGAGCAAGAGAACTACCCCCAATAAACTTACCATCTAACGCTCGAGCTCGAGATATACTGTGGCACAACTTAGCCAGTGAAACCCTGGCAAGCACATCATGCAAATGGAGGATATCTTGCAAAGCCCCTGATTTGGTCACAACAAAGAGAGGAATGCCAACCAAGAAGCATTAGTTGGTGTTTAGAAGTCACTCAAATCCCATCCCACAGGGGCATCAGTAGATAGAATACATCTAAAATTATTGTCTCGAGAGGCTCTTTTAAACCAGAAGAAGGAAAAGAAAACCATGAAACAAACTATATTTGTGTTACAAACAGAATAGTCGAAAATGCATACCTCCAGGGGACGCAAGCTTCTCTGCACCAGAAAGATAAAAGCTAAATCAACTTCGGAATGACACACATCCATAAAGAAGCAAAATCAGTTACCACAATTTAAAAGGAAGTGAAAAGAATGACTCAATCACCTAATGTCATAGCAACAGCATAGGGGTCTCTCATGGCCAACTCGGACAAAATTTCCAGCGAATGTCTCACGGCAACAGGATCAGCAAATAAAACACTGCAACATATTAGCACATAAAACACCAAAATCAGTGTTGTGCCCACCGCATAAGTAGGAAAGAAAGGAAAAAACTAGAGTGCCCACTGCTATGTATATATTCTAGCATTCCAAACAAGAAAAAAAAAAATACAGGGGTTCTTACCCCTGAGCTGCCCGATGCAGAAAAACTGGATTTCCTGGATCAAGAGGAAGTCTTCTTAATGCACTCATAGCCGCATATTGCAAGTTACTCCGAATGATTGACTAGAAGAGGAAGAATAAACTCGAAGTCAAAACAAAAGATATAATATTACCTTCCAACAACGCCTAAGCTACATATTCTGTCATAGCTAGAACCTTTGGTTTTTTGGCTAAGTTGATAGTTTTTAAAGAAGAAAATATTGGAATTTAAATGTTTTGAGAAGTTTCATCACTACATAAGTTCCAGTGATACCCAACAGAAGGGAGAAAATGTAACTGCTAAATATAGCTCTTAGCTAGCAGCCAACTGTCCCAGTAACACAAAGCAGATTCATTACCTATGTCGTATTGTCTGGAAAATAGTGAATAATGATGACAATAGTGAGAAATTTACACCCATAAGTAAAATGATTAACATGACACAAAGGCAAAAAACAAATTACTGCAGGAGTCAATACTTGATAGAGCCTTAAACCTTTCAGTGGAGGAATCTGAGAGTAGAGAAAGATACCTCTTTGTCACCCCCTTTTGTCCCAAAGACACCTTTCTTCCGTTTCTGGGGAACATCAGCCACCTGAAAGCAACTTGAAATATTCAATCAGTGCCTGTGCAACTAACTGGACAAGAATCCATGTATTCTGGTCATGTTTTTTCTGTAACCTAATTAAATGAACATAATGCAAACCAGTAAAAGGAAAGTGATAATCATAATGGTAGAACAATATGTTGATAAATTGCATAGATAGAGTGATAAAGGTTTTCTCTAGGAAAACAAAAGCGAAAACGAATTTTTGTCTTACCAGGACATACGGACATTGAACTAAGAATCTAAGAACCTGGCTAAACAGCACAAAAGCATTGGAAAAGGGCAAACCTTATCGAGAATGCCAAAAACAATCTCATATAACTTTGACAAAATCTCAGTGTTGCTTGCTGGAGCATACGTCAGGGCTTTCAAAACCTGCAGTCTCCGAGCATGAACTGATGAAACAACAAAGAATAAGGTTCAACAATCATCACAAGTCACATTAGAGAAAGGAAATATTGCAAGAGAATGCTAAAACAGAAAAGTCATAAGATAGGTGAAACTCACAGTCAATTTCTGGATTTGAAGCTTCGGTTGTAAGCTGATTTACTATTCGAGGAACAACATCAGCTCTTGTGACTCCTCCAACAGCATCAATATCAGCCAGAGCATCCCAGTTCGGAGTGGGGATACCACCACCTGGACTCATACCAGTATCGGACAGAATTCTAGCCAAGTAATAATAGACATAACGTAGGACACTCCTATCTTCACATTGCTGATCAAGCTGTATCAATTACAAGGGAAATGAATGTCAAAAATTCTAGTGCCTCTCTTTCATAGATAAGTTTCTCATAACTCAAATCCTCGGTCAGATTCATTTGACATTAATGGGTAATCAACGGGAAAAATCCAACAGAAGGATTCATCATTCTAAATGATAGAACAAAATTTTAAAAGAGCAGTTGACCGACAAAAGTCTATTAATATGAGAGCAGGCGAGGGAACAAGTGCATGCATACCATAAGAAGAGATGGGGCCAGAGAAGGATCAACAGAGTTGTACACAGCAAGCTTAGGAAACACGTGATTTACTAGCTGTTTCTGGGAACTTTTCTGCTCGCATGTCACAAAGATAAAAGAAGAAACCATTAAGAGATTCCTTCAACAAAAGTAGAGAAGAAAGACAAAAAATGAGCAGAAAATTTAACCTGATCCAAGGTGGCGGCTAATTCGTGAATGCTCCTTGCAAGTTGGGCATATGAAACTGGCTGCAGAGTTATTATCAGCATATAGAATGTGTTAACTACATCGAACAAGGAGATATGAGCTGATTTTGTTCCCCTCCGATTGCAACATTCTTAAGTTTTCTTTTTTGAATCACCCTCAGTCAGTGACTGAGTTAAGAATATATATAAATACCCAATTCAAAACCTGAGAAACCTCATCAAGGAACAGTTCCTCATCATGTTAACAGAACTGGAAATCCACATCAATAACAATGCTCAAACATAATAAGCTTTCCAAACGACCCCTCTTTCCGATCCTTCGATTCACACACACACCCATCGCCAATCAAGGGATGCGTTCGAACGCAGCAGAACAAATCAAATCAAACACTAACCTCCCTGTTCGTGTAAATTCAACTTTAACAATTAGACAAACCCAGAAGCAAAAATCACCTTCTTTTTCTGTTTCTGCCTCTGTTGCATCATGATATTAGCCTTGACGGGATTCAACGCAGCTTTGGCAACGGACATAGTGTCGTTCTGGATCTGCATCAGAGCAGCTCTCTTCGATTTCTTCTCTCCCAACGTCGTCTTCGTCGACACAGGGTGGTGCATCTGTGAAGCCATTGACGAAGATGCCGACGCCGACGCCGACGACGAAGACGAGTCTCTCGCCGTTGCAGCAGAGGCCGACGAAGTCGAAGACTGCGACGGAGCCGGAGTTGGGTCCGCCGAGATCAGATCCATCAGAGTTGTCCCCGATGACTCCTGTAAAGGAAATGAACAAACGAATTTAGATTCGAATTCTCCCGGTGAATGGGATGCCGGGAGATTTTCTGGTGAGGATATGGTGAATCCGGGAGATGCTTACCGCCATCGCTGTGGCAGATCCGGTGGTCTGATCGGAGAGGGCTTTATTTGGTTACCACGGGCGTTCTGATTCTCGCATCGGCCAGTCAGTACGCGCAAATTTAGCTTTCTTATGATTTCTTGTTTAATTTAATTTCTCAATTTTTTCAACAATTTAATTTCACGATTTAACTAATTGATAATTGGATTAGACATTAATATTTTTGTCACAATTTAAACTTTAACCAAAAAATCGACAAAAACACATACATACATTTTATTATAAAAAACTACTCATTTGCTTGTATTATCTACACTAAAAAAAAAAAGAAAATGTAACAAATTGTTTGTATTATCAAAAAACATATTATGCTATTCGAATTAGACACAATCTAAAAATAATTAATACAATTTTTAAAAATTAAACTAAATAATTCAAAAAAGTTAGTGTCCCTTATTGCAATTTTTTTTGATAATCTAGAAGTTTATCGGGTTTATCCATCATAAAAATCCAGTTAATTATCACTTTTCACGTTTGGATTTGAACTCAAAATAAAAACATATTCTACATTTTTTTTATCACTAGACTACCCAAATTTGGTACTTTATTGCAATCTTACATAATAGTAAATGTATTATGGATCTTTATGATTAAAAATTGGGTTTTACCCTCAAAAAATTGTTGGGTCGAACCAAAAATTTTAAAAAAAAAATCGTATATTGCAATAAAATAAAAGGGTCTAATACAATGACATTAGTCATTCTCCGCTTATTCCATCTCTCATCCACCGAATATATCAAAATCTTTTTTTTTCTTTTGGTACCCGTCGCTCACAAACAAGAAGAGCTGTTTCAAACAACCAAAACAGGGAAAGAAGAAAGAGAGATTCCGACAAATTCCTTTTTTCTTCAGCTTTTTTTTTTCCTCCTTTCGTTGTCGTCTTATTGCTCTCGACAACACCAACTACGACCGAGCGTTGTCCGAATCATCAAAAACACTGCCGTTGCCTTTCGTTTGATGGCGTCACTTAGACTGTGTAGTGTTGGTTAATGTTGTCAATGTCAAGTCCCTTGAGCTTCACTACGGACTCAACATGCCCTTTTAGAGTGTGCAATTCCCTTAGCCTAAAAAAAAAACAGTTTTCCACACAAAAAAGGAAACGTGAACTCGGGTATCGAACTTTTCGATTTCGATTTCTCGTGGGTTTGGTTCGGATTTGTTGTCTTTACCTTGCAACCTCGGCACGTCTCTTGGCTTGTTCGGCGATTTCAGACAGCTCGAGGAAGCTTGTCTTGTCGTCGAACATGGATTCCGCTGTTTTAAGACCGTGCAATGTACGTTGAGCCAATGCCCATTGCGCCTCTCTTTCGCCTTTTCCGTAATCTTTCTTCGTCGTGAACGCGATCTTCAAGAACAGAACAGAAATTTTTGTCAGCAGAAGCAATGGAGATTTGGATCGTTACCCCTGTTCTCCATTACGAAAGATCGAAACGTTAATCTGAAAAAGAAAACCGTACCCTGTTTTCAATCATGTTGTCCCAAGCTTTGCCACTAAGAGAGTAACGAATGATGAACTTGAGGACGTCGAGAGGAATGTAAGTGACGAAACTGTAAAGCCAGACGACCCCAGACCATCCCCATCCACATCCTTTAATCCTTGCAAATTCCCAGTTCGCGTAAGTAGCGAGTACAGTAGCAATCTGTATCGAAAATTATCGTTTTTCAGTTTATCACGAAGGAGATTATCGTTCGTATCATTAAATAATCACATACCAATTGTGCGACGAGGAAAGCAGCGACAAGCAGAAGGCCGGGACGTTCAATGTAGGACCAGCTCCTTGATCGAGTGACAAAGATAAGTGCTTGACTGATAATACTAACTTGCAGATACAGAGCTGCCATCATCTCTTCTTCTTTGCCTTGCAATGATCTCACTCCAAATTTATCCTGAAACCCCAGATGGCATAATCCTAGTAAGTACATTTTTCTTCGATCGTGATTGGTTTTAATCGAAGATATTATATGTTACCGCGAAGAAATCGGTATCATGAGCAAGCCAAAAGAAGAGAACTGTTGCGAGAGCCAAGTAGGTCCCGAGAACAACCCCTGTAGCAAAAATCTCCTTCAGCTTCCAAGAGTCGGGAATCGGAGATGGCTTGACTCTGTCCTTGGAAATGGTCATGATGGTTCCATCGTTTAGGATCGCGATAATAAGCACCATGAAGGGCGAGAAATCGAACTTCCATATCAGAGCTACGAGCAAGAATCCCAACACGATACGTATCGTTATGGAAACGGCATAGATTGTATAGTTCTTCATACGTTGGAAGATGGCTCGACTGGTCAGAACCGCGCTGACGATGACGCTTAGACCCGGCTCAGTCAAGACAATGTCGGAGGCACTTCTAGCTGCATCGGTTGCATCATCCACGGCTATTCCGATATCAGCCTTTTTGAGAGCTGGAGCGTCATTGACACCATCCCCGGTCATACCCACGATATGCTTCCTCTCTTGGAGTTTCCTTACAATCTCGTACTTGTGCTCTACCCAAACCAAGACAACACCATTAGGACAAATACTCAAAATCTGGTTAGATTTAGATACAAGGAAATTGAAAGAATCCTTCTTTGCTAAAGAGAAACCATAATAAAGCATTTTCGACCGAGATTTCGTTTATGTACCTGGGAAGACTCCAGCAAATCCATCAGCTTTCTCTATGAGCTCATCTACAGGGACTCCACCAGTGGTGTCATCCTTGCTTTCGAGGAGAGAAGATGAAGGGTACATATTCGTTCCCATCCCGAGCCTCCGACCAGTCTCCTTGCCAATTGCCAACTGGTCTCCAGTGATCATCTTAACATTGACACCGAGATCAAGGGCTCTTTTGATGGTTTCCGCACTGTCATGCCTCGGTGGATCAAAGAGTGGCAAGAGCCCTACAAATTCCCATGGACTTCCTTCACTTTCCTTGTCTTTCTCAGGAACCGTCTGCCAACAAATTGTATAACAAATGTGTGTAAGAGAATGCACTTCAGAACAGTGATTGACAAGAGGAATCAATTTTTAAGTTTTTTTGAGGCTCAAAGAACGAACTTGACGTGACACTCCGAGTGAACGGAGGCCTCGATCAGCAAACTTGTCGATGATCTCGTGAGCCCGTTTCCTCGCCTCTCCTTTTAGGGCACAAAGATCAATTATTTGCTCAGGAGCTCCCTTACTGCACCTATGCCAATCACCATTGCTGTCGATGTATGTGATGGCAGTTCGCTTATCCACAGGGTTAAACGGTAAGAAATGCACCTCCTTAATACCAGCTCTAGCCTGTAAAACCACACGAACAAACCGGATAAGCAGGATTCATCCATTGGTTATCGGTTTGCCTTCTATCAAAATGAGACATTATAAATTATTTTCAGATAAACGTACCTCTTTGGGGTCGCCCAACATGTTGACAATCGAAGCATCAATTGCATCCTGATTTTCAGTTCTTGAGGCCCTTGCAGAAAGTAGTATGACAGTATCTTTGTCCACATTCTTCGCGAACACCTGCATTCCCCAAGTGTGTTTCACGCTTTTGGAACCGAGAAAAATGTGAACAAAGAGTAAAACATCATTTAAAAACTCTGTAAAAATAACCTTACCTCAATCAAATTCTTGTCGACTGTGAGCTTGTTCAAAGTGAGAGTTCCAGTTTTATCACTGCATAGAACATCCATACCAGCCATTTCTTCAATGGCGGTCATTCTCTTTGTGATGGCTCCTTGTTGGGACAACCTATGGGATCCAATAGCCATCGTCACAGACAACACTGTCGGCATGGCAATGGGAATTCCTCCAATGAGAAGCACAAGAAGGTTGTCAATTCCATCTCTGTACTTCCTGTGTTGGATCGGGTACATCACGATTATCTCAATGAGCATTCCCACCCCGATCGAACAGATACAGAAGTTACCAATTGATGTGAGAACCTGAAACATTCACAATGATAGTTATAACCGGTTCTTGGTTTATGGTTTCAAGCTAACAAGGGCTTAAAATGGCAGCCTGCAAGATCATATCAAATCCCTTTTTTATTACCTTTTGGAAATGACCAACATTATTAGTGCTATCAACAAGGTGAGCTGCCTTGCCAAAGAAAGTGTGCACGCCGGTGGCGATCACAACAGCCTCGAGTTCACCTTGTTTGCAAGTGGAGCCAGAGAAAACCTCATCGCCCGGGTGTTTAGTCGCTGGAAGGGATTCACCCGTAAGAGCAGATTGATCGATTTTCAGAGGGTCGCCTTCCAGAAGACGGGCATCAGCTGGGATAATATCACCCAACTTGATACTGACCAAATCTCCTGGCACAAGAATTTCAGCCTCTTGCTCTCCCCACATTCCATCCCTCAACACCTATAAACAACAAAAACATTACACCTAGTCAATCTTTACTCGTTCAAGATACAATTGCGTTCCTACGTAACCTGCATTTAGAAGTATTATCCTTAAAGATCTGCACTACCTAGCTCTACCAATATATACATGCTAGTTTTGATCCTTGGCAGCTAGATTAAGAGATATCTATCTAATGTTCCATGGTTTTAAAACCAAAAGACCCCATGTCACTATCCATCAAGAATCCGAGATATGAATAATAAATATCCTGAAAACTAAGGGTACTTGTAGACTGCTAAAACCGGCAGATTATATCAATTCATATGAGATAACATGCCAATACCATAGGAGTGAACACTAATGCATTACCTTAGTTTTCGGAGCAAGATTTGCCATAAGAGCTGCGGCTGCATTACCGGCATTGTTCTCCTCAATAAAACTGATGGTGGAGTTGATGATCAGAAGACAAATGATTCCTACAAAGTCCTGCCAGTCCGGGGGCTTGCCGCCGCCATTGGCTAACGCGATGGCCATGATGGCAGCAGCTTCCATCACCCATGACAATGGGTTCCACATAAACCCTAAGAACTTCAAAAATTTGTTCTCTGTTTTCTCCTCTAGCTTGTTTGGCCCAAATATCTGTAGCCTCTTTCTTCCTTCCTCCGATGAAAGACCTTCTCGGGAACATTTCAGCTGCTGGAACACTTCCTCTATTGGAATTTTCTCCTGTACACATATACACAAATGATATAGAATCGTCAACAGAGATTTTAAAAATGAAGTTTTTTGAACATCTCATCTTGTTAAATGGTCAATACCACAAGTTCTCTGTTATAAAACTGTAAATGTATAATCCTTCCTCACATTTCTATTTTGTTTTTGGAAATGTGTTCTCTTGTTAAATGTGTTCTCTTTCGGGAAAACAAAACAATAGAAAGCAATACGGATCATCAATAAATACATATGTGTGCATATAGATAACTTACAAGATCAACATTCTCCCTCTTGATTTCTTCCCAAGAAATGTCAGAAGCCATGGTGAATGCCTAGGCCCCTTTTCTTCTTGAATCAAAATAAAAACAAAACACAAAGTTTATGCAAAAAAATCGGTTTTCAAAACCGAAGACGAATTGAAGGAAAAAGAATCAAAACTTAAAGAGGTAAATGAAAGCTTGCTTGTTCTCTGGTTTGGTTTTATTGCATAACAAGTGGTAAGAGAAGCAGGAGGAAAGTCTGTCCTTTTTACCGTTTTTTGGGTTTGTGATTTGGTCTTAAGACAAAGAGGTGATGCTTATATACACAAGTGCTGTTTATTTTTTTTCTGGCCGACCGAATTCTGAGGTGCTTTGACAGTGTGTGTGTTCATCACTGCTTTTGTGCCTTTTATTTTGCACTCTCTATTTTACTTTTTTTTTTTTTGGTATTACATTCTCCTATTTACTTACTTTCCTCGCCTCCAATATTGCTGGCTTTGACCCTTTTTCCTTAAAAAAGGAAAAGAATAGAAAATCAATTTAGCTGTTAATACACATATATACATACAATAAAGTTTGTCATTTTTTAAAATGTACAGGATTTAATTGTAATTCAAGTATAATTCTGTGATAGACCCAGGATCAGTTACCTTTTTTAATGGTGGTCAAAGGAATCGTCCGACTTGCACGTAAATATTCAATATTTCTATATTTTAGAGGAAACAAATATTATATTTACATTAATTACATATTTAGAAGTCTAGTCTATTTTTAAACAAACTACTTTTTACTACTATGAAAATTATTTCATGACATTATTTCCCCTAATTTTCCATTCAAATGATCATTCCTGAAAAATAGTTCTTATAGACTCTTTCAACGCATCTAATATTACAAAAATCATTAAAAAAACAAGAAAAAAATTACAGGATAAGAAGTGTTAAGATACCTTAGTACAGATCTCTGTAGCTCGACCACCAAAAGCTTGTTTCAGACATGTCAACAACACGCTCACCAGCTTATCCCTTTGAGCTTATGAACAAAGACAAGCAACAGAAACACCTCGTATGATTCTTGTCAAAACTATATACATGTTTCCTCGCCTATTTCTGCAATGAAAAGAAGATGCATGATGAATAAGAACAGACGAGGAAATCTACTGAAAGTAGAAGCATAAAGTTGCACACAGATCGGTTTTAAATCATACACCTAGATGACGAAAGGGAATGATCCATCTCGGTTTAAGTGACTCAGATAATGCAGATGTACGGCGGAAAATTTCCAAGGAGCTGTTGAGACAGATGGATGAACAGGAATGCGAGAATTGACACACGAAAAAAGGCAGGGAGAATGAGCCTTAAATGGTCAAAGAACATCAACTGCAGATGATTAGCTATTCCTTTCACTAATGGCACAATACAAAGAGTTCGCTTATCTCAAGGATAATCTTGTGATAGGAGCTAGCTGAATTCAAGCCCCATCAGCCTGCACAAGCGAGTCGAATACTCTTGTTCAAGACCATTGAACTTGATTCTTGTAATCTCTACACTAAACCATCATTTAGAAATATGATTCATATTTACCATATATATCGACACGGTGGAAGCCTCTGGTGAAACAATTCACAGGCTACAGTCAATATAGCCACTCCACATAATCCTTTTAGCACAAAGTTATATGAACAGACATCAGTTGCATCCCCTTCTCTGAGAGAATTTTGAATAATTCCCTTGCAGCCTCTAGTTGCCCCTCCATAAACAGGCTGTCGACTCATATATTGTAACGGAAGAATTCAGGTTAAATAACTATGCTTTGCATTTTAGTAACATATCACTTATATGAGACTATATTCCAGTTTAACAATGCTGCAGAAGTAAATTAAGATAGCTCCGAGGCCGGATGCCTCCATCTTTGTGAATATCTCATCAAAGAAGACTTGTGAGAACAACGACAACAGGAGCCACCATCCCGTGAGAGATCTCATCATACACTTTTGAGGTTTCGTCCACTCTACGATTCTCGAAGTCCCCATGAAATCCAGGAATTTTACGTTAAAACATCAGGCTGAATGCCAGATCTAATCACCTGTTCTGACACCTAATGGTCCCTCAGCCATTTCACCTCATAAACCATACCCATCAACACAAAGTAGTATACGTGTAAAGATTTGGCCGAAGACCTTGTCGGATCATCGTTTGAATGGTGGCTTCAGCATCAAAACCCATTCACATTCCTTCTTTGCAGAACACATCTCCATTAACAAGCCACCCACCTCCTTCCATTGATCGAGACTCCACATGCAATGTATAACAGAATTATAAGTGAAGACATCATAAGGAATTCCTAAATCCAACATTCCCAAGGAGAAGCTTATCAATGATTGCTCTATACATTACCACATCTAGCACTGAGCCTCTCTCTTCCATCGTCCTTAGAATCTTAACTGCTGCATTGGCTTCTCCGATTTTACAAGAATCCTTAACGACAATGCTATACTCAATAACATCAGGATCAAATCCATCTCGCTCCATATGCTTGAACAGTCAAGCAGCTCCATGAACTTCCCCACGAATGCACAACCCATTGATCAGTGTACTGAAAGTAGTTGAATCAGGAAAAAGGGATACCGCGACATATACGGGCTAACTGTTAGAACAAATTTGTTCGATAGCTTCATCGACATCGTTACCGGACCCGAGCTCTAGTTTTTCCTTACGGATCTTATGTCCGAAGAATGGCAATAGAATCGGATTCCAACAATCTTACTGCGGTTGGATGCAAGATGAAACACCTGATAGAACAATCTTACTGCCCATTCGTTGTCGGGGATAGAGATTACCAGAAACATCACTCTTGGGGCTTCACTCGAAGGAAATTTTCTTCAGCTTCTGTGTCTTCTTCCATGGTCAGAGCTTGTTCAACTGAGAGCTCCTGTTGTTGGCAACCCTTCAGCCCTGGGGTTCGGGTCACTGTCACCGACTCGGATCATGAAGTCGGGGTCTGACTCGTTTTATTTTGGAATTGTCAATCCAAAAAACCCGACGTTAGAAAATAGAAAGAAAGGAGATAGGATGGTTATTTCGAGTTTCGGTCCGAATGCGATTTGGTTATAATATTCAGATTCATATATTTTAAAGTTTTCTATCCGATTTTGAATTTTATTGATAAAATATTTATGTTTCAAAAAAAATCTTGAATATATTAAATTTGTTTGAATTTTCTTCTCAACCATTTGTATATTAAATTTTATTTATATAAATTTTGTGAAGTATTTAATTTTGTCTGATCAAGATGTCTAGGGTATCAATCGAACTGACCCGAACTCGCACTCGACGCAAAGGTTTCAGGTTCGGGTTAAAATCGATCCGATTTTTTTTTTTAATATATATAACCAAAATTCAAAATTTGATCCAAGTTTGGATCAGGTCCAGTTAGATTAGTTCGGTCCACTAATTTGAAAAATTATTTTTTTATTTTTTTTAAAAATATCATACTTTCAAACCGATCCAATCGGTTCGAAACCCAGTTTGAATCCATTTTAAAATTTTAATTTTGTTTGGAGCTAAATCGTCCACACACAACTATTTTGCTTTTGGTTGGCACGTGGCAAATGGGAGAGAGATGAGTGGCATCCACGTCATCGTCCACAGGATCCGCATGCACGCACACTAAAAAGAAAAAAAGGCGACAGTTTAAAGCAAAGCACGAGGGTGGCAATAGGCGATGAACGAATATCCAACTCCCCCAAAAAAAAAAGATGCAATAATCTTTTTCTTTTGGATAAAAAGATGGAAGTGCTTTAGAAAAATATTTTTTTCTGTTAACGAGAAAAAAAAAAACAGTTCTCATAAAAATACTAATTTTTGTATACCATCTTTTAAAATTTTGTGAGAACATTTAAGTGTTTTATTATCTATTAATATACCAAATATAAATAATCTAAACGTGTTTAGATCCATTCCATTGATGCTATATATATGTAATTTCTATCAATATTATAAACAAAAAATTAATGAAAATTTATCTTCCTGCTAAATCTAAAAGTTGTCATAAATCCTTTGAATACAGATATTCTATCCAAATCTTTTAAAGTTTTGGATAACGGATTTATAGTTGATTTAATTACTTGAATTTTCTCTGTTCTTCTAACAGGAAGTTCATTTCTTTTATTTTGTAGAGTGCGAGGATTTTCAACCGTTCAATCTTGAAAGATTTAATATAATAAACTTTATTCACATTTTTTATTTCTAAGTTTTCAGTTACTATGGTTAATTATTTTTAATATTATTCTCGGATGTTTGGTAAAATGGCTTTCATGATTTCGATGAGTTGGAATCTCGTTTGCTTCTATGCTATGTAAATATGATAATATATTATCGAGATTTTGTTAAATTTTCAAAATCATATATTATATTATCAATCATTTGTTAATGTTTCAAATATCATTTCATATTTTCTATTTCATTATATTAAAAAAAATTAGTAATGGTTATTATATAATAAACCAAATATATATGCTTTTTAAAAATAAATTAACTGAATCAAATATAAAAAAAATAAAGAAACTTCTATTTTTTTATAAAATAAATATTTTTAATAAAAAAACCGGTTTGAATTGAATCTCAAATAAAACCAAATTTAACAGAAATTTTACAGGATTAATATAATTTTTTAAAAATAAAAATAATCAAAACAAAACAAAACAAATCATTCCACACTACACGTTTATAAATTTTTGGATTTTTTTTGCATGTAAATATTTTTTCCACCGTCGCTTGTGGAATTCAGATTATAATTGTAAAATAAAATTTTGCTCCTTTTTTGGTACTATTTGTTTTTTCTAAATCGGATGTTTGGTAAAATGGCTTTCATGATTTCGATGAGTTGGAATCTCGTTTGCTTCTATGCTATGTAAATATGATAATATATTATCGAGATTTTGTTAAATTTTCAAAATCATATATTATATTATCAATCATTTGTTAATGTTTCAAATATCATTTCATATTTTCTATTTCATTATATTAAAAAAAATTAGTAATGGTTATTATATAATAAACCAAATATATATGCTTTTTAAAAATAAATTAACTGAATCAAATATAAAAAAAATAAAGAAACTTCTATTTTTTTATAAAATAAATATTTTTAATAAAAAAACCGGTTTGAATTGAATCTCAAATAAAACCAAATTTAACAGAAATTTTACAGGATTAATATAATTTTTTAAAAATAAAAATAATCAAAACAAAACAAAACAAATCATTCCACACTACACGTTTATAAATTTTTGGATTTTTTTTGCATGTAAATATTTTTTCCACCGTCGCTTGTGGAATTCAGATTATAATTGTAAAATAAAATTTTGCTCCTTTTTTGGTACTATTTGTTTTTTCTAAAAAGAAAATTCCCCTGAATTCAGGAATTTAAAAAAAAAAAAAAAAAAAACTGGCTACTACATAACTGCAAATGCGAGTTTTTTGTATACATGTAGCATCCGCTTTTTTTTTTCGCATGCCCTTTCCGTACGAAGCCATGGAAATCACCAAAAGCTTTCTCTGCCCCAATTCCACTGTAAGTACCAAGTTTTGTTTCCGCTCTCTCGTGGTGTTTGATCGTGTTCGTGTTTGGCTTCTGAGAAAGTCGATGAATTTTCCGAGAAAACCCACTTCTGTTTTCCCCCTCCCTCTCTTTCTCTGTCTCTTCTCTGAAGCTTAACATGGAGCTTGTTCATCAGAACAGTGGTGTATGTAAACATTCGTATTCACATAAATGGAAAATTTGTTAAAATTTCCGTTCATGCGTACTGTTTCTTTCTTGTTCTTTTGAATTGTCCCACAGAGCTGTAATATAATCAAAGTTGCATGATATGACCCCTGGGTTTTGTGATTATGTTACGTTTCACCATTGTATCAGCATCCTCCTCTAATGGGTTAATGTTGTGAATCTGTTCTCTGGGTTTCAGGTGGTCTACAAAAATGCATACAGGGAATGCCTCGGCGACTTATATCCTTTGACTGTCTTTTTTTTTTTGGGTTATGTTCTTCACTTTAAGACAAAAGCATTCATGTTGTTCTTCGGAAGCAAAGAGTTTAATCTGGTGCTTGAGCTACAAAAAATGTCAATTTTAGAGTTTTCCCCTTGAGATTTGGAAATATGAATGCTGTTAGAGTTCTTGTCGTTGTTCTAATTGGATTCAGAAAGATGGTTTGATGGAATTCGTTTAATCATGTGCTTCCTTAAGAACGTTTACAGTGTTGGGTTTCGGATCAAATGTACTGACTGTTCTTATGATTCTGATACTTGCAATTATGAGAAGAAGCCACGAATGCAACAGAAGGGTAAAGCCGCTTTTCTTGTTTTTGGTTTTGGTTTCTAGGTTGCACTTGAATTTAGTAGGAAGATACACTCTTGCCAATTTCTTCTTGATCAGTTTTCTGATGATGAATGATGCTTGTATTCTTTCCTTTTTTCTTAGAAAAACTCCATCGAGAATGTTTTCTTGTACGTTATATCTGGACTGGGAGCATGTTTGTCATGTGTGGAATTGGTAGTGCTCGCTAGGAAAAAGTTTAAGCGAGACATTGTTCTGTACCATGAGTGGTTTCTCCCGTTGTCTTGGTTCACAATGTGGGTAAGCTTCTGCAACTTTATCTTTTATGCTGTAACGGAATGAGGGGTTATGTCTAATTGTTTTGTTGCTTGTTGTAATTTCCAATGTGTAGATCGAAGTCATAGTCTTGTCAAAGTTTGCTTGCATTTGCTGTATTTTCTGCAGTCGGATCCTAAGTTTCTGGTGGATTATAAAGATCCTTACAGAAGTGCTATATTTGAAGATTGTTTTTACTTCACTGGAGGTACTGTAGCCAAATATTTGAACACAATCTTTGGTTGGTAGCTTCGAAGTATCCCCAAAGTTTGCTTTATTATGCTTTAATGCGAATTTGATGAATGAATTCACAAACTCCCATTAACAAGAATCCTATTTGGCAGTATTTGGACTGCATCACAGAGAGTTCCTTCATCGTGTTGGACATTGCATTTGGCATCTATATCAACATACTTAGGATCAAAAAGGCACCCCCAAAGTTCAGGTATAAACATATACAGTAGTCTTGCAGTATTTTTCATGGATGATAAATTTGTTTGAAGCACATATCAATTTCTTCTTCTTCTTCTTGTAGCTCATTGGAAGATCCTCTTCTGCTGGTGGATAATGATATCGAGGAGAATGCCCACAGGGACACTGTATGTCATTTCCATTGTGGCTTTGTTTCCAAGAACAGTTTGTTTAGTGAGTAAATCAGCATCATGAGTTACAGAAATTTGTTTGGGAATAAATGCTTGAAGGGAAATACCGGGGGCAGGTTGGATATGCTCACTTTTGGATACATTACTTCAGTAATGAAACATGGATCAGCCAAGCAGCTTGAGTTTGAAGATCTACTTCCATTACCCGTTGATATGGATCCTTCTGTCTGTTGTGAGAATTTACAACAGTGTTGGGAGGTTCAACAATGTAATAACTGTTCGAATCCTTCACTAATCTGGGCAATTTGTTGTGTATATGGATGGCCATACTTTCGTCTCGGTATGCTGAAGGTATGGCTACTCTATTTCACAATTTGAAATATTTGTATTTCTGAAATCCCGATCCATATTCTTTCTAGTTGATAAATTCGCAAATTGTCACATGCATTTGAGAAAACAAGGTTTATCTGTAAAGTAAGAAAAACTTCAGGTAATTCAAACCATATGGTATGGTTCAAAGATCAATATTGTCTTCAATGTGCTGCATTGTTGCTTATATTGATACGTTCCGAGAAAGATGAAAATGGGATATATTACATGTTTTCCCGCAGGTGTTCAATGACTGTATAGGCTTTGCAGGGCCCTTACTTCTGAATAAACTGATCCGGTATTTAGAACAAGGTATGGATCCCTGTCCTAATTGTAAAGTATTGCTTTCGGTCCATTCTCTATCTTCTAGTTGATCCCTTACGATATTTCCTTTTTTTATAATGAATATCTGATTTCTTTTTTTCTTTTTAGCTACTTCCTGTCTCATACTTCTTTTTATGTTGGTAGAGAAAAACTTAAAATTCAATATGTGCTCCCAGATTTTGTGATTATTTGGGGCAGAAAAACTAGCATTTCTGAAAATCTCGTAATTGTTTCCTTTTTATCGTAATTTTGTTTTGCCTTGGTACCAAGGAGCTCATGCCTAAACTGTTTCTCCTTTTATCTCTGAATTGCCTCTTATGATCTTATTTTCACTGGTTGAGTGGCTCAATCATTTAGAAGATTCAAGTACCTTCTGAATAATCCTTCGAATAGCTGTCCACAAACTTGATATGTATTGTTCATTTTATACATTTTATAAGATTATTTTAGGACATTCCTTTCATCTATTTTCCTGATATGAATACTGAACCACTGTTGGAGTCATTGTCGCCATGTCCAACTGAACAGGTTCAGGGAGCTCTGGTGGTTATTTCCTAGCCATTGTTTTGGGCCTCACATCTATCTTCAAGTAAATACAATATCTTATATCAGTCTTTGAACTTCTCTTTAATAGTAACTTAGTGTGTTGTATTTCTTGTATAGTTTTATAGCTGTAACTCTGCTTCATAGTCACTCTGGTATTTGCCTATTCTCTTGTAGGTCTTTTCTTGATACACAGTACACGTTCCATCTCTCGAAACTTAAACTGAAGCTACGATCTAGTATCATGACTATCATATACAGGAAGGTATATTCTGCTCCCAATTTGTGTACATTATTTATTATGAGTGGTGTTAGTAACTTACAATCCCTGAATATGATCCCTTTGAAGACGGTTATGTGAATTATTCATTCCAAGATTGAAAGATGATTATACTTTATGCGGTGTTGGCTTTGGCTTCTGATCCAATCTGAAAAACTAAATGTGTTTAAGATACACCAAATGAAAAAGTTACAGCTAATGAATTATCTCGTACAGCCCTGTGCATTTCCATTAAAATTATTTCACTGTATTTTCCTTTCAAAAATTACTTTTTTCTAAATTCAATGTGATGGTTTATTTTTTGGCTTCTTTTTAGAATCTCAAGTCAATTTTGGTTTCAGATGATCCAAGTACCCTAACCTTGATAGTAACTCATGAACTGCAATGATTACAAATTAAGGGGCCCTTTCCTGGATTTACTTGACTTGCTAGATAGTCTCTGCTTCAATCATTTTGTTGCTTCGTTAGATTGTTTTATCCATTGATATTCTATTCAGTGTTTGCGGGTGAGCACTGCCGATCGATCAGGATTTTCTCAGGGCGAGATTCAAACGTTTATGTCAGTAGATGCTGACCGGATTGTCAACTTGTGCAACAGTTTGCATGATGCGTGGAGGTAACAACATCAATTCTGGCACTCTGATAAACAAAACTTTTCTTTTGGATTTCAATGTCTAGGAGGAATTGTCACTCTTCTAGTCCTCAAAGTTATTTGCTTAGGTCAACTTGGTTGGTGTAAGCATGAGATTAGCCCCTAGTGGGGATTATTAACTCTGTGAAAATAAGACAATAATTTCAGTCACCGATACAAATCAGGAAACATGAAAAGTTAAAATCCAGAGACTCTCTGTCAATATAAATTTTTTCGGGTTTTCTTGATCGTATTCCTCATCACATTTCTTATTCAATCTTCATTTAGTGTATTTTTCATGTTTTCTCCCAGTCTGCCTTTGCAAATCGGCGTGGCTTTGTATCTTTTGTATACTCAAGTCAAGTTTGCTTTTCTCTCTGGTCTGGCAATAACCGTCTTGCTGATACCAGGTACACACTTCCACTAATAAATTCTAAATTTGCAACATCAATGCATGAACCAACTTACTAAGCAGCTTCACCTTGTTTTCTCTCCTGTTACTCTAGGAGATATAACCAAGGCAATGGTTTGTAACGTGAACGTTAATGTTCCTGACTCTATAGCTTCATCAAGTTTTCAATGACAAAATGTGAATCCAAAAGTAACTTAATAAACAACTGATAAGAACACCAAAGTAATTCTTACGTATTGATATCAAAACCCAACACAAGATAACGGTTCCCCTAGTGGGGATTATTAACTCTGTGAAAATAAGACAATAATTTCAGTCACCGATACAAATCAGGAAACATGAAAAGTTAAAATCCAGAGACTCTCTGTCAATATAAATTTTTTCGGGTTTTCTTGATCGTATTCCTCATCACATTTCTTATTCAATCTTCATTTAGTGTATTTTTCATGTTTTCTCCCAGTCTGCCTTTGCAAATCGGCGTGGCTTTGTATCTTTTGTATACTCAAGTCAAGTTTGCTTTTCTCTCTGGTCTGGCAATAACCGTCTTGCTGATACCAGGTACACACTTCCACTAATAAATTCTAAATTTGCAACATCAATGCATGAACCAACTTACTAAGCAGCTTCACCTTGTTTTCTCTCCTGTTACTCTAGGAGATATAACCAAGGCAATGGTTTGTAACGTGAACGTTAATGTTCCTGACTCTATAGCTTCATCAAGTTTTCAATGACAAAATGTGAATCCAAAAGTAACTTAATAAACAACTGATAAGAACACCAAAGTAATTCTTACGTATTGATATCAAAACCCAACACAAGATAACGGTTTGATTATTGAGAGTATCCTTCTCTCCCCAAAAACCCAGACATTTACCAAAAGCCAAAACATCAAAATCCCCTCTCATATCTGTAGTTTATATATTCTAACCCTAGTCCAAAATGATGAGCTGACATCAAAATAACCGACTAGAAAAACACCACAATATTGACCAGATTCAATGAATCTCATATCCCTGGCCTCACATCGAGCTAGAATATGAATACTTCATATTTTTTTCTTTCAATAGATGATCTATGTTCTACCCAGCCTAAATCTAATTGATTTTTTTCTTTTTCAGTCAGTAAATGGATTTCTGAATTGATTGCACGTGCAACAGAGAAAATGATAAAGCTAAAGGATGAAAGGTATGCTGCTATGTCTTATCTCCATATGTTCTTCTACGAGGGCTAGGGTTACTCTTGTCTATAGAAGTTCTGAATTTGTCGACATCAACTGGTAATTTTATGTTGCGTCTTAAATTCTTAAACTAGTTTCCTCTATCAGGATTAGAAAGACAGGGGAGCTTCTGACTAACATTCGCACTTTAAAGATGTACGGATGGGACAACCTTTTCGCCGATTGGTTGAAGGAGACAAGAGTCATGGAAGTGACCCACCTGGCGGTCTGACATCTCCTTCCATTTTATAGTTGCCATAGTAACATATAAGATGGGATATAGATCATTCTCCTCCTCCGAGTGTTTCCATTAACAGTAAAGTTTTTCAACACCTTTTTTATCAGACGCGCAAGTATTTGGATGCATGGTGTGTTTTCTTTTGGGCCACTACACCAACTCTGTTTTCTCTCTGCACCTTTGGCCTCTTCACATTGATGGGTCATCAACTTGATGCAGCAACGGTATTTTGAATGCTTCTTTCAACTATATCTATTGCAGTGAATAGATTTGTTTCACTTACTTTCCTGGGTGAAAACATAATTCCTCTTTTTTCAGGTTTTCACTTGTCTTGCTTTGTTTAATAGCCTGATATCTCCTTTAAATTCGTTTCCATGGGTCATCAATGGCTTGATTGATGTAAGCTATCTTTCTTCTATGGACTCTGATTTAAATTAATGGTTCTCTATTTCTTGGTGATATGTGTTCTAACTTTCTACCTTATCTCAGGCTTTCATTTCTACCAGGCGGGTGAGTAGGTTTCTGCATTGTTTGGAACACAAAATAGATCTTTCAGATGATTCTGGTCTTATCTCTGAAGACACAACTGTGTTCGTTGGCGATGCATCTTGTACTTGGTCAAGTAACATTGAAGAGGAACAGAACTTGACCATAAAAGATGTTAGCCTACGAGTACCGAAGGGGTCATTTGTTGCTGTAATTGGAGAGGTAGAAATCTTACCACCTTTTTCCTTCTCCTCCCTTTCTACTCTGTCATCGTATGATGCATCTGAGCAAATTCTGATTTGGGCTCTCTTTTAAATTTTGTTCAGTTTTGTGAGTAACTGAAACATGCCATATTCATTAGATATGTATAGGACTAGGCGGATGTTATAGCTAAAAAATATAATAAACAACGAAAGAGTTATCCGTAGAATACTGAACTTGTTATCTTGATATCTATAGAGAACTTTGTTCTCTTGATATCTATGGAGATTATTCATCTGCTTCTATTTGCGGGGTGTGTATGATGTCTTCATCCTTTGAATTGTTTAATTTCATAATCAGGTTGGTTCGGGTAAAACATCATTACTAAATTCGCTATTAGGCGAAATGCGACGCGTTCATGGATCTCTACTATTAAACGGGTCTGTGGCATATGTACCACAGGTTTGAAACTGATCAAAGACTGATGTTTCTTTATTTCTAATTGCTAGTTTGAAGTATTCTCACATTTGTCTCACTCAAATATTAGGTGCCTTGGATTTTATCCGGAACTGTGCGCGAAAATATTTTGTTTGGGAAGACTTTTGACTCAGAAAGGTTCAATTCATGTACACCTATATGCTTCTCTCTTTCTATTAATTATCCGAACGGTTATTATTACTTCCCTTGAATATTTATAAATGAGGCTACTTGCTAGTGTTTGTTTAACTTAGTCTTATTTTTTTGTAACTTTGTTACACAGATACTTTGACACTTTGAGGGCTTGTGCACTGGATGTTGATATTTCACTTATGGTTGGAGGCGACATGGCCTATATAGGGGATAAAGGGATGAACTTATCTGGTGGACAGAGAGCTCGGCTTGCTTTGGCAAGGTTTGCTGGCCCTCTTATGCTCATTTACCAGCCATATATTTGATATGCTTTTGAATGATTTCTTTGCCAAATCACATAACAACTATTGTTTTGGGTTTGTTTATTTTGCAAAATGAAGGATTCAGCTTTGAAATATTTTTTTGTTGGTTTTGTGTGCATGAATACAGGGCTATTTATCATGGTTCAGATATATACTTGCTTGATGACGTACTCAGTGCGGTAGATGCACAAGTTGGCCGTTGGATTTTGCATAACGCTCTTTTGGGTCCTCTAGTGAACGAAAAAACTCGCATAATCTGCACTCATAACATTCAGGTTTGAAATTTCTCTTGAGTTTTTTTTCTTAACAAAATAACTCTTCTTTTGTTTTTTTTTTTGTTTTTTGTTTTGCTTTTCAACTCTCCGTGGTTTTCTATTGTTTGTTAGAAAGAAAGGCTTTTGGCTAGATAATTTCAGACATTTCTAACGTGCTTTGTTTCAAAAGAGGAACAAATGTTAAGGATTTTACCTCTGTTATTTGTTCTGTTTAATGTCAAAATCTCATTTATTAACAATATTGTGAAGGACGGGTGTTCAACCTCTAGCTTTTTTCTTGGGCTATATTGTCTCAACCTGATTCATTTTTTGGTTAGTAGAATTTGTATGGTATTGTTCATAGCTATTAGTTAACTGTCACGCTCTGATCGACATACTCTAATTATGCATGTTAGGTGATATCTTCGGCAACTATGATTGTTGTAATGGAGAGAGGCAAAGTGAAATGGTCAGGAAGTCCCGGTGATATGCCCGGTTCCATATGTCCAATAAATTCTTCATCAAATGAATTTGATATGTCACCTAATGTAAAAGGTTCAGCTTGTGAGCCGATGCACTTTGCTAAAACAGAAGAATCTCTTTCAGCCGGTAAAGATGATGTAAATCCCATGACTGAAGCTCAAGAGATTGTCGAAGTCGAGGAGAGAAAGGAGGGCAGAGTCGACCCGATGGTTTACAAGTAAGTCATTTCTGAAATCCTGTTTTGCTTTCTTTCTTTTATTGTTATTATTAATATAAGGATGTGTATTTTGGCCCTCCTGAAATCGATGTGGTCACCATTTTGACATTGTATTTTGCAGAAACTATGCTGCATTTTCTGGTTGGTTCATTACGGTTGTAATATTTGTTTCTGCAATTTTAATGCAAGCTTCTCGCAATGGGAATGACTTGTGGCTGTCATTTTGGGTGGATAAGACTGGGAAGCGGCTAACACATTACTCCACGTCTTTTTATCTGGTAAGTACCAATGAAATATTCTGAAATAAATGAACCAAATCAGTATATAATTTCTTCCCAAGTTGACCCAGAACTCAAATGTGAATTTTCAGTTTTTGTTTTGTGCAGCTTCAATTATGATGAGAAAAAACTTTACCTCTTTATAGTGTTGAGCCACCCTGGTAATCTTGCAGGTAGTTCTCTGCATATTTTGCTTCAGTAATTCATTGTTAACCTTGGTGAGGGCATTCTCATTTGCATTTGGAGGATTACGAGCAGCGGTTCAAGTGCACAGTACCTTAATCTGTAAGCTTATAAATGCGCCAATTCAGTTCTTTGATCAGACACCAAGTGGAAGGATACTCAACAGGTTAGAGATGAGGAAACTCTTGAATATTTCATCTTATTCTGCCTCTAATCCATGTTTGATTTCTTGTGTAGGTTCTCTTCTGATCTATATACAATTGATGACTCTCTTCCATTTATTCTCAACATCCTTCTGGCAAATTTTGTTGGCTTGTTAGGGATCGCTGTAGTTTTGTCATACGTTCAGGTGTTTTTTTTTCAAATAAATCCTTCTATCTTTTCCTTTTACACAATTTTGATATTCTTTCTCCTCAGCATAATCGTACTTGTTGGAAAGTAGTAATATCCCTGAATGGTTACATGTGTAGGTCCTATTCTTGCTTCTCCTTCTGCCCTTTTGGTATATATACAGCAAACTCCAGGTACTTTCTTCTAATTGCAGAGGCTAAAGTTTCAATCTTTCACATCAGTAACAATTTAAGAATACTTACCCAAGGTTTGTGGTACCTAGCAACATGATATTCCTTGGCAGTATTGCTGTTCTTGTTGTATGAGATCAGCAAAATGACTTAGCAAAGATTCCACATTTTATCCAAAGACAGATGAAGTTTCTGCTAAATGAATACTGTCCAGTTCTTCTATAGGTCAACATCAAGGGAACTACGAAGGCTGGACAGTGTTTCACGGTCGCCGATATATGCTTCCTTCACGGAGACACTTGACGGGTCGTCAACTATCAGGGCTTTTAAGTCTGAGGTGATTTTTTGGTTCTGCTTTTTCGGACGCGTTCATCTGGTGTTTGGCTTTCAAGCATTTCAGCTCATTACCCTCCAATCTCCTTTCTTGAGCTTTCATATGCACTAAAATGATGTAGAGCACATGTTTTTTAGTATTTATTTGAGATTATATGGGTGTTCTTGTTTGACAAACCTGTATGATAATTTCAGAAAATTCTTGCATATGATAGGAATATTTCTTGCCTAGATTTATTGGGCATGTAACGTTATACCAGCGGACTTCTTACTCAGAGACAATTGCAAGCCTTTGGCTTTCTTTGCGCCTTCAGGTACTTTCACAATCTAATTAACAATATTGAACTAGTTGTCTGAAGTGTAAGATAAGGAGGGTTTCATGATTAAAAAAAACTTTTGATGTGCTACTACTTAACTGTCTATCCTTTTTTTTATAAGGGTTAGTGATTCCAAAAAGCTTTCTTTACTTAACTGTCTATCTTATCATTATCTTTGTTGTTTGACTAACTTGCAAAGATGTTTTCTTTATTGATGTTTACTTTTTTCGTATTCATAGATTCTGATCCGTTGCCAAATTTCTTAAGTTGTAAAATGATTATTATTATTATTACTTTTACATGGCATTGAACATTCTGAATCTTTGCTTTAGCTGTTAGGAGCATCTATTGTCTCATTTGTTGCTGTAATGGCTGTTGTTGGGTCTCAAGGCAAATCTCCAATCAGTTTTGGTACCCCAGGATTGGTAATAATATAAAACAAATATATGATTTTCCTTTATTCTATCCAATTTCTGGACCAAATCATAAATTACAAATCCCATTGACAGGTGGGATTGGCACTCTCATATGCAGCTCCAGTGGTTTCTCTTCTAGGAAGCTTCTTGACAAGTTTCACTGAAACAGAGAAGGAAATGGTTTCTGTTGAAAGAGTTCTTCAGGTATTGATGCTGAATTACTTGCATTTATCTCTGTTAATGTTATTATAAGTTTTTAACGCCAACCTTGCTTCTGTGTAGTACATGGATGTGCCTCAAGAAGAAATTTCGGGTCACCAATCTCTCAGCCATGATTGGCCATTTGAAGGGACGGTTGAGTTTCACGATGTTTCTATGAGATATATGCCATCTTTGCCCCCAGCTCTTAACGGTATATCTTTTACAATCCGAGGAGGAATGCAGGTAGTTATACAGTTATGAAACATAGGTTGTGTCATAGTTTAAAGTTGTCAGTGTACTAACTGAATTCGATCACGTGAAAAAAAAAATGCGGTATCAGGTTGGAATAATTGGAAGAACAGGAGCGGGAAAATCTTCTATATTGAATGCCCTTTTCCGGCTTACTCCTATTTGTAAAGGACTGATAACGGTGGATGGTTTTAACATAAACCATCTTCCAATTCGAGAGCTTCGTTCTCGCTTGGCTGTTGTTCCTCAGAGCCCTTTCTTGTTTCAAGGATCATTAAGGTACAAACTCTTTCCTCATTCTTACACAACCCATACAAACAAAAAAAAATCTCTTACTCATTCCGCACATTATTCAAGTGCTCGGCTTTCTTGAAAAAGTATTTGATTCATCTGGTTAACTCTCCCAGGGATAATCTTGATCCTCTCGGATTGAGCGATGATCTGAAAATCTGGAATATTCTTGAGAAGTGCCATGTGAAGCCAGAGGTCGAAGCTGCAGGAGGCTTAGATACCGATGTAAAGGAATCTGGATCTTCCTTTTCTGTCGGCCAGAGACAGCTTTTGTGCCTGGCCCGAGCTCTTCTCAAGTCATCGAAGGTAAAAACACAACAAACTTTGTCTCTCACATTTTTTTTAATTCTGAATAAAAAAAACTAAGCATATTATCATATATAATTACACACAACATTGAGCAAAGGTGAAAAAAAACTAGAAATAATCGCTTAAAAAATCAGGAACTTTCAAAAAAAAAGTTACATATAAATTCGTCAAATTTGTAATTTCTATATAAAATAACTTTTTGAATCTTATCGTATCTCCGCATATATCAATAATTTTATGAATTTTGTAACTTCTGTATAAAATCATGAATTTATGAATTTTGAGGGAATATGACAAGATTCATAAAAGTTTATGGTTTTATATAAAAATTACAAAATTCATGATTTTATAGGAAATATTTTTTTAAAAATTTGTGATTTTTCCAGGTGATTGTCCCAAAAAATTATGGCTTCTACAAGAATAAGAGAGTCAATATGAACAAGTAAAGGCAGACTCATTCCATGTGCTCTGTTGTAATGACAGGTACTTTGTCTAGATGAATGCACAGCAAACATCGATATTCAGACAGCGTCGGTGCTTCATAGCACAATATCAAGTGAATGCAAGGGAGTAACAGTAATCACGATCGCTCACCGCATCTCGACGGTTATGAAAATGGATAATATCCTTATTCTCGACCGTGGAGCCCTAGTAAGTTCATATTACCTCTCCTCTTCCTCTCTTCATTACGCTTTTCATATTTATAGATTGGGTAAGAAAAATAACACCTTTCCATGAACTAGGTATATTATTCTAAGTCATGAGAGCATAATTCACCCTAAGCAATTTTACAAACTGGTAATCCAATCACCTGTATTAAAGACAACTTAACAAATCAATGCAGAGAAGCAATATGAATGTAACATAGGGTCCCAGCAGGAAGAAGAAGCGTACCCGAACCCACCACTCCTGACCGGAAAAGTCTAAAATTTCTAAAAATGAACCCCCTTACCCGCCTTTTCACTTCTCCATTTCACTTCTCCATTCGAGAGGAATGGTTGATCTTGGGAAAAGAAGTAGAGACATGCGGGGCGAAAGTGATCTATAGAAAGAACTATCCATTAGAGCAAAGCGACTAATAGACTATGACTAGTTCAGGTGCGAAAGATTGGACTTCTTGGCAAATAGGACAAATAGGAGTCAATTCGGTTTTCAAGCCTTTCTCCTTAGGCGCATGTCGAAGCAGAGCTCCCTCGTCTTGCTTGCTTCTGGCCCTACAGTCAAAGTAGGAAAGATTGTTGTCTGAACGCAACAGGGTACTGTACATATAAAACTAGGGGTGGGTACGGCTTGGATACCCCGAGATTTCCGAGTTATTTGAATCCGTAGCCAAATACTTCGGGTGTCACGACGAAGTTGCTTAACTTAGTCGTCGGATTTGTACAGATTTGAATATGTAGATGTTTGGCGTGTGTAGGTTGAACAAGGAAACCCTCAAGATCTTCTGCAAGATGAGTCCTCCGTCTTCTCAAGATTTGCAAGAGCTTCCGCGATGTGATTTCTTACATGACAACATCCACTTGTCTAAGCTATCTTAGGCATCTGAGCTCTGGTTTTCAAACTTTTCAGTGTAACTTCTTTTTCAGTGTATTGGCTCTAGATTGGTTATTGTGAATCAATCAATGCCATTATTTTGGGGAACTGGTGAGTGAGTTAACCCATAAAGTAATTAGAATTAGTAAAGTAACATGTGTTTAAAAACTTTTGTAAAATAATGCTTTTGTAGTTTAAAAAGTCTATTTTACTTTTGTGTTTCGAGGGTAGACTTTAACTCTAATTTAGAGTTTAATTTTTAAGGATAATTTTGTTATTTGTAAATTAAAAAAAAAATGTTTTAAAATAATACTTTGTAAGATTCAAAATAATTATTTTAATATATTAGGAAATCTTTTTTAAAATTTATTAAGAAAATATTATTTTTATTTTCCGGAATTTTGAGTTTTTCAGCTATTGATTTTGAATTGAATAAATTTTATTTAGAACAATAAGAGGGGTGGTTATATATATATATGTCTTTTTTTAAATATATATTGTGTCATGGGTTTGTATTACGGGTGTTAAATTTGGTTCGAAATCCGATGTCTTGCCCTGTTCGGTCTTAAAATAGTGGATTTCAGACCGATATATTTAGATCCGAAAATTTTCGGACTATTGGATTTGATTCAGATCCGACTTCAGAGCAATCTGAAAATCCAAAATTTTAAAAAATAAATAAAATAATATCTAAACCTGAAATATATAGAGTTGGACCTTGAATTTAGTGATTTAGATTCGAAAAAAATTGGGTCGACTTGAATCCTAACACAAAACCCTTGAACAGGCTCGTGTCGGGTCGGGCTCGAACAGGCTTGTGTCGGGTCAGGCTAGCTCGGTTGGCAGTTTGTACAATACAGGGAAAGAAAAAAAAAAGAGAGCGTAAACTCGCAACTCGTGCATGTGTTTATTTGGCCAGGAAACAAATAGGACTATTAAACCATGGTTAGATTGTTTCTATGCTCATTGGGCAATTAAACTAAACACTAAATCATAATTTTAATTTTAGAAGACACGTGGCAAGTCATAATAGCCGACATTCTTTTCGCGCCAAAAGGGGTTCTCCCGCCTACGCCGCCCAATACATTTAAAGCGTCGCTAGGGTTTCGACATGTCAGCCTCTGTTCTCCCCGAAATCTCTCTCTCTTACCTCTCTCTCTCTCTCTCTCTCTCTCTGCGTGACGCCGAGTCCCTGTTCTTTCTTCGTTTGCTCCAATGGCGAATGAGAAATTGACAGAGTACGAGCGCAGAAGATTGGAGAACATCAGACGGAACGATGAAATGATGGCTGCTCTCAAGATCCACGCTAAAGCTTCTCTCCTCTCCGCTGCAACCAAACGTCGAAGGTTTGTACCTTCTCTTATTCCTTTGTAACCCTTCAACTTAAATGTCCCAAGCCCTGATTTTGAATCTTCTTGTTTTTCCGATGCGCAGAGTCGAGTGCAAATCGTACAAATCAACGGAGAAGAAAAGCAAACCTGAAACTCCGATTGTTATCCGTCGGTCTCTCCGCACTAGAGGATTGAAGCCAGATTCAGGTGGTTTAACCGACGATAAATTTCCCAAATCTGTCAGTTTTCCGAAGCAATCGCCCACTGTAATGGGTCCATTAGCCTTCGAAGATGCTTATGATGGGTGGGGTTCAGACAGGCAATTCGTTGACACCATTCTGGATATTGCGAAAAAGTCTGATCTTGGGAAAAGTGTTAAAGTAAAAAGTGATTCTATCTGTAAGGACGAGGAATCTAGAGATGCATCTCCGGTGAGTAAAGAACTTAGAAGATGTACACGGAGTCCTGGTCGCGCATCTAGTGTTGTCAAATGTGAAGATTTAGATTCCTCTTGTGATTCTGCCAAGAACGAACGTGTGGTTTTTCCAATTAAGTGTGAGAACAGCGAGTCTAGGAATGCTCTTGATTTGGAATCACTGACTTTAGAACCCAAAAATGTAGCACGTGTTGTGCCCGGGAGGATATTTGTTGTGAAGTTCTTACCTTGTGCTGATGTCAATATGGTCGCAGCTGGGGATAAATTGGGGAATATAGGGTTCTGGAATTTGGATAGCAAGGACGAGGAAGATGGAATATATCTGTACCACCCTCACAGTGCCCCTGTCTCATCTATCTTGTTTCAGCGAAGCTCATTATCGAAGGCAAGTTCCACGACTTCAGTTCCGTTGCTGTCTTCATTCATTTTACAAAGTCCAATCAATTTTGGTCACGTTGAACTGCTTAGAATGTTCTGTTTATCTTCCTCATGATTCTGATATACCAGAATTAGATTCGGATTTCAAGGATTTTCAAAGAGTGATAAATAAAAAAATGCGTAATAGGTTTGAAACTAAGGCTGTAGAACCGTATTTGTTTGTGTGTATGGCATCTCGTGTTTATTGTTTGTTCTTGCATATGATTGCAGGTCATAACCAGCTGTTATGGTGGTTTCATCCGGTTAATGGATGCCGAAAAGTCTGTATTTGATCTGGTATATTCCAGCAGTTATGCTGTATATTCCCTTTCGCAACGCCCAGAGGATGAACAAAGCTTATATTTTGGCGAGGGAGCTGGAGGGTTCAATGTGTGGGACCTTAGAGCAGGAAAATCGTCCTTCCAGTGGGACCTACATGAAGGCAGGATTAACTCTGTTGATTTCAACCCACAAAAGCCCTACATCATGGCTACAAGTTCTTCGGATGGGACTGCTTGCCTTTGGGATTTGAGACGTATGGGTGCCAAAGAGCCCAGGACATTGAATACCCTTACACATGGCAAGGCTGTGCACTCTGCTTATTTCTCGCCTTCTGGACTTTCGCTCGCAACGACGAGGTATATTCCCTACGATTTTGTTGCTTGCTTTTCATGTTGTTTGTAATTGGAAGAATATGCTCCATTTCTTTCATCTCATTTTGAGAACTCGCCTTGCTCCATTGGAAAATGGTTGGTGTTTTGGTTGAAACACTTCCGTAAAGAAATAATGTGAACCCTGTTCATCAAGAAAATGGTTGATATTCATATAGCTTTCCAGGATACTGCATGTGTGTCAATCCTCTCCTCTATGATCAAATGTTAAACTTATTTGGGTTTTGACCTTGTAGCTTTGACAACCATGTGGGTATACTTGGCGGCAGCAATTTTGAAGATATCTCCATGATAGATCACAACAATCATACAAGTAGATGGATTTCTACTTTCAGGTATATGCTTAAACGCACTTGCTCTTTTCTCAGGGTGTTAATGTGACAGCCAAACATTCATTGCAAAAGCGAATGTGTTTAGTCATCGTATTCCCATCTTTGAATTATCCTCCAGGAATTTGATCCAAAACAAACCATGTGACTGATTCTCGGGTTGAAAACCGGCAAAGAGAATTGATGTTGCTGCAAAATTTTCTGTCAAAATTTATCCCCAAAGGCTTAAAAACTTGTGAATTTGTTGATATGGCAGGGGAATATGGGGATGGGATGATTCATACATATTCATAGGGAACGTGGGAAGAGGGGTGGACGTGATATCTACAGCAGAAAAGAGAACAGTGAAGACATTGCAGAGTCCTAATGAGTCGGCCATTTCGTGTAGATTCCATTCCCATCCTCTCAATGTCGGCATGCTTGCAGGATCCACTGCTGGTGGCCAAGTCTATGTCTGGTCTCCAAACTAAGCTTACTCTTCTTCTTCTTCTCTTTTCTTTTTGGCAAATTCATCAAGTTTCAGACAGGCATTAGTCTTTTGGCCATGAGATATCCCATGGTTGTTGTTTTTTTTGTCCCCCTGGCCGTTCATAATTAGATGTGCAACAAGTTTGTAGTTATTTCCAACTGAAAAAATGGAATGTATGATTTTTTTTTATTGTCAACCAATGATATAAATTCGCATCTATGATCTGTTATTACTATTATATTGCACATCTTATAATGTATCAAATAAATTGAAGAGTTGCAGACATTGTCTTCCATTAAAAAAATTGCGCCTTTTAATCATCTCTATGTTGGGAAGTAGTCTATTTCAGATTTTTATTGAAGTTTTACATATTTTTCTAAAAAGAATATATGCATTAAGTAGTCGACTATCATTTTCGTGCCTAAAGGAGAGAATCACACCGAATTGACAGTGGAGCGCAGAAGCGTTAAAGGATGTTGCTTGTAACAAAAGCAATTGACTAGAAACTAATATATATATATATATATATATATATATATATATATGTATAGTGTATATATAAAGCATTTTACAAAGCAAGCACTCTTTAAAGATTATCTTAAGGAGATGGAGACAAAATCAGGCTTTGCGGACAATGGACCGTCTCTCCCGCTGGTACTCAACTTCACCTCTTTGGTGCATTATCAGAAGAGCTCTCCTCACCTGACGTCATCACATTAATGGTTTACGCATTATATGATAAAACACACTTCTCTCATTCTATGCTTTTTATTGTCCATTTCAAAAAGATCAATATTAAAAAAAAAATATGAAGCTCTCTAATTACCATAGAATCATTCAGCCCCATTCTTGACAGATCCTCTATAAGCCTTCTCTCTGATAGCCGAGCCCCTATCCCCATTCTCCTCTTTATCTGAGTCTCAGCTTTCTGTTTAGCAATGAACATGTAAAAGCTTTGAGAATAGAGATGAGATGATATCAGGAATGATTTTGATCTGTCTTTACTTCCTTTGGTGACAAAAGGTAGCAAGTACCTTAATCTCGTTAGCCATCTCGCCCGAGATGTTGATCTGCTGGTTTATTCCGGATCTTGCTGCATCCATCGTCGAAGAATCAAACAGTTTGTAGGCTTCATCAACATCATCTTCATTTGCATCATGAGACCTGGGGATAGTTTGCCAATGATTATCTCAAGGAACGAGTTTTCTGAGCAGAAACAACTACCAAGCACATAATTGAATATTAAGAAAATTTTACTTACAGTCTCATTTTTGCAAGAGCCTCACTCAGTCTGACAATAGCTTCCAGTTGTCTAACTGTGATGGGTATTGGGGCAGCCTCTCCTGTTTCATGTGCTCTTCTCTTCATACTCTGCGAAAACCAGGCATACCATCAGTAAAACTTTCATTTCATAAGCTCAAGATCAGAAAAGTATCTCTGAGGTTTCCGCAAATGATGATAAAACAACCCGGAGAATGGAGTACTCATACGAGTAACTACTAAATGAGGATTGTATATATCCTCTGAAATTCTGCAAGTCAACACATCTGAACAAGTTCATATTGAAATGATATTGTGTCATGGCAATGAGATTCAGATAGACTAAACGTCTAAAAGTTGTTCCATAAATTTGACAAAATCCAACCTTGAGGTAGTTTCTCGAATTAATTCGCAACATAGGCCAGCTGACATTACTCGAATATGAAAATTACCTCTCGGATTTTGACATACAGCTGCTGCAGCTTCATAGCCGCAGCTTCAGAGAGACGAGGGCGACACCTTGTTCGACAGTATTGGATATACCTAAGGCAACAAGACAGGCTGCTGTATCAGTATTTTAACATATTAATATTCTACATGGTAATTTCTCTTCACATTAAATTTAAGTTGCTCCCATGAATGTAAATATACCTCTTGAGCCAATTCTCTTCTTTAGGAGCTGTTCCATTATCGCTCGAGATTTTGTCAGCAGATGCATGAACCTTTATGATGTGGCTGGCTATTTCCTGCCCCAGAAAATGGAATCCAACAATTAAATCTCTAAGCAAGCTAAGAATGATTTATAAGTGTTAAACATTCTTTCTTTTATACGTCTTGGGATGAAAGAATAAGCCTAACAAACAAATACAATTATCTTCTCTATTATCGGCCTTTAAATGAAATCCATATATCTGTTCACCACCTGTCACGTAGTACAATACTATCGAACTCGGTGTTACCTTGTCTTGGGAATACTTCCTGATGTCCTTGACAATGAAGATCAGATCAAATCTAGAAAGAATTGTTGTCTGCAAATCAATATTGTCTTGCGCAGTCTGAAAAGCCAACAACACGAATCTGTCTGAGAAAAATGCAGGAGGAAAGAAGATAAAACAAATTAAAAACGATAAGAGGAAACAGGCTTGAGACCTTAAGGTCATCATATCGACCAGAAGGAGGGTTTGCAGCTGCAAGCACAGATGTTCTGGAATTCAAAACAGTGGTTATTCCAGCTTTGGCTATGGATATTGTCTGCTGCTCCATTGCTTCATGAATAGCAACCCTAGATCAAATGAAAAAGTACCTTCTAAATTTCAGCCACTATGCATAACGATAAATAGACCGACTGCTGTATGATTTGGAATTGAAGATCCAAAGTCAAGAAGAATACCTATCTTCAGGTCTCATTTTATCAAATTCATCAATACACACAACACCTCCATCAGCCAAAACCATAGCTCCCCCTTCAAGATAGAACTCACGCTGGATGGAACCGAATGTATGAATTAAATGAGATAAAATTCACCACAGAAAATTAATCTAAAAAAATATCACAGAAAAAAAAGTAGGACAATAATCACATATAAGAGAGAGAGAAAAAGAACAATGTGAAAATGAAGAACATACAGAGCTGCTGTCTCGAATTACAGAAGCTGTAAGACCAGCAGCTGATGAACCCTTTCCAGATGTATAAACAGCTATTGGAGCTGTCTTTTCAACAAACTTGAGAAACTACAAAAGAGCAAAATCGAGGTTCTAAGACGGGAAGCGATACTGGCTTTTGTTTTAAAGCTATAAGCAACAGGATAGAAGGTTGAATTAAAATCACCAAAGAGAATAGAGATACCTGTGATTTCGCAGTTGATGGGTCCCCCAGTAGCAAAACATTGATATCACCTCTTAGTTTCACTCCGTCGGGCAGATTCTGCATTACATATATATACACGCATACGTTCATATATCAGAAAGTACACCCATACACAATCACAAAGGGGAATGGGAAATCAAAGGATCGTACCTTTCTAGATCCTCCAAAGAGAAGACAAGCTACTGCTTTCTTCACATCTTCGTGGCCGAATATTGAAGGTGCAATCTTGGAGCAAATTGCCTTGTATACATCTTGACTGTCAGCAAATTTTTTGAATTCTTCCTCCTGAAAGCAGTATCAAGATATTATTATTAATGAAATGTTACCGATAACACTGGAAACCTATGACGTTCCCAAGTTTCCAATAGATCGGGCAGTTCGACTTGGATATGACAGAACACGTAAACAAAAGAACAATATACAGCCAAAAGAATAAAGCAAAGGAAGACGTATTGGTAATATGTAAAATGATATGGCAGGTTGTCTAACAATTAAAGTTTTGAAGGAGTTGATACTAACTTCCTCAGGAGTGAAGACAGCAGGACCACGGGAACTGGCCTCAGATGTTTCTTCCAATCCAACAATCCTGATATAAGGCTGTCGAACTGCAACTGCTCCTTTGTGACTGCATCAGACAGTAGAGGAAAAAAGACATCAGTATGTGATCAGGTTTACACAAAAATGTTATATTTTCATCTTGATATATAATGGTACTTACGAGGCAGATGAACTTGCAGCTTGGAAGATACTGTAGATACCCATTACTGTCAGTCTTGTTCCAGGTACAATAGTTTGGACGAGGTGACGATCAACTGAAAGAAGCATGTTTCGGGGAAGCTCCCCAGTAGGAACATCCTTCAAAAGTAAATGAAATCATATTTAGACTTGTGCAAATAGCATAAAGATTTCGCATAATTCAACAAAATCAAAAGTTGACACCTCTGGGTTCTCCTGTAGTTTCAGGGTCTGTTGATCTACATACTGGCTCCGATCAGGAACCACCATCCATGGATCAAGAGGGCATGGCTCTTCTCCAGGCTACACAAGATCCAGTTGTTCTTATCAAAATTAAGAATAGCACCAAAATTGAAACACCGAGAAATAAAAGAAAGTATGTGAAACAAACCTGTGGAATATGATCACATGATCGAGGAACAATTGCCCCACCAAGCCCAGGACGACATGGAACTTCTTTAGTATTTCTACAATTCTTACATACTAAAAACACATAAGTGGCCTTTGCCTTTACTCTTGAAGCTGCAATGCTGATGCCAGATATTTTCACCAATTTTGAGATGTATTGAGCCTGCCAGAAGAACTAGCTAGTCAAACAACAAAGAAAAAGCAACCTACATAACAAAGTTATTGTTGTCTCAATTGCCCCAGAAAGGAAAATTCCGATCAGACAAGTTAGAGACCCTCAACAGTAACAAGGCACAGTCATATATAACCCCATAACTTGCATCATCATTATTTATAAGTTCTAAGGCTAGGAGACGCCATCATTTTTCCCGTTTTCATACAAAGTTCCTCTTCAAACAGAGAATAGATTCAAATCAATCTACAGAAACCTAGCATACCCCAAGAGAGCGTATGGAGACAGGGTCCTCTTTCGAAGTCAGTAAAATCTGTACATCCCCTAACTGTGGCTCTACCATTTCTCCTGTTTCTCCCGCTTCTCTCATTCTTAACCCAGCCAACACTTCTGCAGCTGCAGTCTCAAACTACAAGACGAACCCAGTTCAAACCACAAGGATTAGCGCCATAAGGAATTTTACATAAACAAGACCACGCAAATCCAACCCGCCCTAAGATACTCGGAAATGAAAACGAATCATTCCACGGCATATAAAAAAATTCAAACTGCAAGTGAACATTGAAGATCGAAAATGGGACACGCAAACCCGGAAATGGAAACAAATAATTCATCATAGCACAAAGCTTTAACAGCCACTGAACCCTATAACCCGAAAGTCAAAGAGTCAGCGCGAGAACCCAGAAAGAGAATAACTTGTCGGTCCGTCCAGACAATATCCCCAAAAAAGAAAATCTGATTTCCCACGTGTCAAGCCCTTCGATCAAACCCCAAAGCAATCGAATCGCTTTTGTAAAATGAATTCATCGGTTAACGCAGATTGGGTGATACCAGAGGCAAATAATTGGCTGGAGCGGATCGAAGCAAGGACGGTAGATCGGAATCGAAGGCGAGTAGATCTTCGAGGTGGACAAGAAGCTTCTTAGGGTTGTCGAGCAGAGCTTCTCTGTAAGGGAAACAGTTCTGTTCGATCTCGAAGTTCCTGATAAACTCCTTGAACTTCGTCAGGACAGTGTGTTGACTGACGCCGGCGACCCCATCCCCCGCCTCCGGGAACTGCGCCTGGTCGCTGTAGTACACCGCTCCTTCGTCCCATCCCGACATTTTTCTTCTCTCTCTTCGTCTTCCAAAACCCTAATCTTTCTCTCTCTCTCTCAAAAACAAAAGAAAAAAAGATCAGTTTGCTCTATATGAGGGAAAGGAGAAGTGGGCAGAGGAAGAGAAGGGGTTAACTCGGACAAAGGATTTTAGCGGGAAGAATGTGGCGGGAAAACGGATGGGCCGACTTTCTATTTGGGCTCTGAGATGGGCTTATCAAAATAAAATAAATATTTTCCGTTGCAGCAAAACATAAATTAAATTTAATATAAAAATTAAATATGATTTTTTTAAATCGAAAATAACGGATCTTAACCCATTCGAACTGTACACCTGAACAAAAAAACAAACAATTCTTTGAGAAATAATTACTTTTATCCATAAAAATCGAATAAATTAAATCCAATTCAATATAAAAACTAAACCGAATTACCAAATTTGTACTAAACTATCCAAAAAGTTTTTTAAAATTTGAGCAAAAGATATATTTATTTAAAAGAATTTTACTATAATAAAATTATATGGTACCATAAATTTTTAGAGTTCAACCGGTAAAATATGAATTAAATCTACTTCTCAATCTAAGTTTGAGTTTTCATTTAGAGAAAGATATTCACTTCCAACTTTTCGGTTTAGTTGAATCGAACTGTAAACTTTGAGATTATTAAAAAAAATATTATTAAAAAAAATATTACGGACCAAACACTTAGGGGGCGTATTATATAAATGAACTCAAACCATGCTCTTCATAAACTTCACACCATCAAAAAAACCTCTGTAAAGAACATATAAAGAAGCCATTTTTACAGCCAAAAAAACACTTTCACGTATAATAACCATATAGAAAGAAGCCAGTAACCAAGAAAACTGTATATATATATATATATATATATATAATGGAATGATTCATGCTGCTATCTCATCTCTACTTTGATTCTGATTCCTTATCATATTCTTCTTGATCCTGGTCCTGACAGCAGCTTGACTGCATCTTCCATGGAGGGACGATCGCTTGGGTTACTTCTCGTGCAGAGGATCGCAACCTCGACCACCCTTTTAGCTTCTCCCTGCGTTGAATCCCTCGGCCCGACCCCGTTTTCTTCGCATATTTCTCGTAAAAGATCGTCTTTCGGCTTTCTATGCGTCACTTCTCCGCCGTTCATCGGCCTACCGTTCGTTAGGATCTCGAAAACGAGCTCTCCGAAGCTGTATACGTCCGCTTTCAGCTCTGTTCTTGTCGTCTCGTTCATCTGGTCTGCTCGGCATTTCATTGAAAGCTTTAGAAAATGGGTGAATGCCGATGAAACAGACGAATGTATGTATGCATTATCTACTACATATATATATATATGCATGTATGTATATGCGTGTGTGGGTGTGTATGGTCATGCAGTTTTACTGATATATATCACTTTCAAGAACATCCATTTCTGTTTTCAGTGGTTCTTGGCATGAAAAGAATGCAAGTACCTGTGTTCCTTGTGGAAAGTTTCGAAAAGGCCGAGACTTTGCTCAACTGCACGACGTATTTGAAACCGAATTCCCCGAGCCGGGGTTCCATATTTTCGTCGAAAAACACATTGCTCGACTTCAAATCTCCGTGCGGGATTGCAGGGTAGCATTCGTGGTGAAGGAAGCAGAGTCCTTTAGCAATTCCAATGATGATCTTGAACTTAGTTCCCCAGTCTCTCCTCGTCCTAATCTTCTCAGCCATATTCCCGTTAGGCAAGTTATCATACAACACATAAGCAACATGATTGTTGTAACATACTCCGAGCAATCTGATCAGATTCTTGTGCCTTGCATTTCCCATCTGCTTTATAACTTTCAGCAGAAAACCGATGTTTCTGGCTTTCCACTCGATTCTTTTCACGGTTACCGTTATTCCCGTGGGTAAAACTGCTTTGAAAACCGATGCCCGAGATAGTTCAGACACCGTTTCTGAATGTTCCGGCGAATTAGAGCTCCTCAAGAAATCATCGGCCGTGAAACATGGCAGCCCAGCGAAAGATATCATCTTCCAATGGCCTCGGCTTCTATGGCGAACATAGAGCAAAACCAGAAGTGCAACTACCATAACCAGGATGGAGACTAAGCAAGAAACCAGAACTGGCATTATCTTCTTTGTGTTCTTGCCTCTGAACATTGTCATAGAGGCAGGACACTGTTTCAGAGGAGCTCCACACAACTCTGCGTTTCCGACATAAGCGCCTTCACCCATTGTCTGAAACAACCTGTAAGACGGAATGGAACCGCTGAAGTTATTGTGTGACAAATCTAAGACTCGTAGACGCGGAAGACGGGCGAGTTCCTTAGGAATGTGACCGGTCATTGTATTTCCAGCTAAATCTATCTTCTGAAGTGCTTGGCAAGTGGAAACAGATCCTGATAAAGTCCCAGAGATGCTGTTCTTGCTCAGTTCAATGACAGAAACTGGTTTGCAGGATCTGAACTCAGGCAAATGGCCAGAGATGTTGCACGAGGATGCTGAGAAGTTCCGCAGATTCTGCATGGACCATATTTCAGGTGGAATCACGCCTCCAAGCCCGGGATTGTTCGAGATATTGAAGTACTCTAGCTTTGTGGCTTCTGATATGTCTCGAGGAATCCCACCTGTTAGATTGTTTCTGGACAGGTCTATGTATGAGAGGTCATGGAAATGGCGGAAGCGGAAAGGGATCAGACCTGAGAAGGAATTGTCTTCGAGACGAATGCGGACAAGGGTGGAACAGTTGGAGAGAGATGGTGATAGACTTCCGGTGAAATTGTTGGAGAAGAGCATCAGCTTGAAGAGAGCACCTCTCGAGCAAATACCCTCTGGGATGCTACCGACAAAGCCGTTGGTCGAGACATCAACCCATCTGAGCTTTGAGTTCAGTCCCAAGCTTCTTGGAAGTGACCCAGAAAAGTAGTTGTTCCATATGAAGAGAGTGTCCAGTTCTGGGAGGCGGGCAATTCCTTCGGGGACAGCACCAGTCATTTCATTGTACATGAGGCTCAAGAGCTTAAGATTCTTCAGCTCCGCAAAACTCTCTGGTATCGGACCAGTGAGTTGATTGTCGGAAAGGTCAAGATTCACAAGAGAGGTGATGTGTCCGAGCTCCCATGGAACTGGCCCTGAAAGCTGGTTCCTGAACAGGAACAAAGATTCAAGCTTTGTCAGATTGCTGAAGAACTTGGGAATCGAACCAGAGAGATTTGCTCCTGCGATGTCGAGGTACTTCAGCTCAGTCATGTTGCCCAGTTTCCATGGAATCACGCCTTCATATGAGTTGTAACCAATCTCCATGTGAGTCACAGTTCTGACCAGACCAAGCTCCTCCGGTATGTTCCCGCTGAGAAGATTCCCTCCGAGGTGAAGAAACTCGAGGCTCTTGAACGAACCGTACGCTCGAGGAATCGACCCACTGAAGTAACTCCCGGCAAGATTCAGCACTTTGAGATTCTCCATATCAGAGAGCTCAATCGGCAAAGGACCCGAGAAACTGTTGCTAAATGCATCGAGGACGACCAGATTCTCGAGACCGGAGACTCCGCCGGGAAAATGCCCGGAAAAGTTGTTTCTGCTTATGTCTAAGCTTCTGAGGCTGCCGAGGTTGAAGATATCACCGGGAAACTCGCCGGAAAAAGCGTTGTCGCTGATGTTGAGATCGATGAGCTCGGTGAAGACGGCGAACTGTTTTCCCCACAAGATTCCGCCGAGATTCTTACCGGAGAGGTTAAGGGCGACAACGGAAGTGGAGTTCTGGTTGCACTTGACACCGGACCAAGAACAGCAAGCGAGCTTTCCCGGATCTCCGGAAGAGAAGAACCAGTCCTTTAAACTGTCGGAATCGTCGGTCAGTTCCGATTTCAAGCTGAGAAGAGCTTCCGTGTAAGGATCATCTGCTGAAACAGCTGTTGCAGAGGCTGTAATGGAAATGAATACTATAAGATTGAAGCAATAGAACCAGAGTTTATGGGCAGTATTCTCCATGTGAAGATCTCAAACCAAGAAGAAGAAGAAGAAGAAGAAGAAGAAGAAGAAAGAGTGGAAAAGAACAAAGATTAGATTACACAAAATGCTTTCGTTTTCTGGGTGAGAAAAAGCTGTGCTCATGGGAACTCGTGAAAAATAATTTTGATTTTTGTTAAATATATACAAATAAATATTATATATTGGTTCTTTTACTTATTTTTATAAAAAAAAAAAATTGAGTTTTGGTCTCACGTAAATAAGAAAAATAAAATGCTGAATTATGGCTAATGGGGTTATTAAAAGGTAAGGAAAAAATTCCATAAATAGTAATAGCAAACAAAACATTAATTTGTTTTTTTTATAAGGAACAAAACATTAATTTGTATATGCTGTCTTGATAAAAACAATTTTATTATATCTATATAATAAGTATCTTACCATTTCCATAAATCATTTACATGCAAATTTATTATCTGAATATTACAAAAGTTTAATGAATGTTAATAAATACGAGGCTCGGCGTATCCCGTCCGTACTGATATTTCATAAATACTACATCGATTAAAGGTAACACGACAAGTGTCATTGGTAAATATTTTGACTGAGTAAATGTATACATTGTATATGTACAGTTAATTAAAATTTGATAATATAAATCAGAGATACCAAAAAAAATGTTTATAATGAAAAACACATTCCAAAACCACATTTTAGAGGATAATCGCATCTTTGGAAATCAAAACTCTTCACTATTTGGCAGTTGAATTTGAAATAATTATGACAAACATTTTTCATTGTTATACGAATTTAATAAAATTACAACGTTAATAGAATTTCACCTATTTATTCGGATCGATCCTAATATGTGAGCCCAGGAATTATGTAATACTTCAACAATTTATAAGTGCCTAATGAATTTTATATATATTCAAAATAAGATATAAAATATTTGAACATCTTCCGAAATTTTTTATATTTTTTCCATTCAAATCCATTAGATTTTTTTGTTTGTTAAAAGTAAAAAAATTAGGATATAAAACTAGGAATCTAATAATATATAACTAACAGAATTTTAGTCGGCAAAATATCTAAAATACCATCTTTTTGCTAAAACTACTTATACACATACCCTTCTTCAGATATGACCATGTGACCAAAATAACTATATGGTCATATGATAGATCACATTGGTTACAATGATAAATTTACGATGATTTCATCAAGTGATTAGTATGATATGTAAGGTGTGACTACGGTGATTTGGTGTGATCACGATAAATTTAACGTTATGATCAATGTGACCACCATATGACCATACGGTTATTTCGGTTAATAATAGTCACACATGGAAGAGAGTACATATAGAAGTAGTTTTAACAAATGGATGATATTTTGGATAATATCTGATTCAATCTAAAACAAGATTACCACTAGAAAAATAAGATGAAAATAAAATTGAACCAGAATTATATTAATTATATTTAAGATAAAAAATTAAATGAATATAATTTTAAAAAAATTAATTGAAAGGCATCTGATTGTTCATATTATAACGTTTTATGGTCTTTACTTCCTTGGACTACATTTCGATTCAGATCATATAATCTAACAATTCCTGTCCAAAAAAAAATCATATCAAACAACAATAATTGAGAAAACAAAATTTATAAAAAGTTGTATTAATGGAATTAAGGCGGCTTTTTTTTTTTGTTATGGAAGTGGAAGACAAGAAGGGCCATTTCTTTTCTTTTTTTTCGTTTTCTTTATTTGTGAAATTTTCACTTTCTTGAATTTGTAGTATTTTACAAATTGATAACAAAAGAGCATCTTTTTTTCGACCGTATCTTTTTTTTTCACTGACAATAATATCTATCAATTAGGGTTCCTGCTTTTTCTTGAAAAAAGGGCACAGAGCAGAACAAAGTGAACGTTGTGAATAATGAATCAAATCATTAAATTACGTGTCTTTATCTACGAATATAGTATCATTATAAAAATAAAAAGCAATAGGAGAATAAAATAGATCATAAAAGTTCATGTGGATCAATCAAATCTTATTAAAAATATTTTTTGGGATAAAGATGGATTCTGAAATTCAAAAATAAAAATATAAAAAGATCATTATATTCTGACAATATATTATCCTCGAATGGAATGGAACTTATACTTTTCCACTCCCACTAACTACTTGATAGATATTTGATTGATTGTTTCACATCTTGCGAATAGAAAATTGTGAAGCTAATATTCCATGAGATATCGAATTTTTTTTGGTAAAAGTGATTTGTAAAAAAAAAAATTGAAACATTGGCTGGAAATTGAAACATTGGCTGGATATTTAGCATTTAAATTATATTCCATTTTCTTATTATTTTTTAATTTGATACAAAAAAATTTCTAAATGTTTTGTGCCTCGTTTGTTTGTTTTTGTTTTTTGGTAAAAAAAAAAACCCATTTGTTTTGTTTATATACTTCCCATACGTTGCTTGGATTCGGTTTAGATTTAACTAATTTAATTTTAAAGAAATCTATTAAAAATAACGATTTTTTAATTGTATTTAATTTAGATACATTAGCATATTATTCACTTCGATTGAATTCGATTTGTATATAAGAATCAAAATTTTTAAAAAAGAAAATATTACGAGAAATCAAAGTTACATGAATGCATTGACGAAAAGTGCATATGACGGGTTTTTGTGTGTTATAACATGTTTAAACACTTTTACAAAATAATAATATTATTCGTTTTTATAAATTATAGAATATATATATATATATATATAGTTAGTAATAGTATACATAGATAGATGGGGTTGGTTTTTTGAAGCGAAGATACAAACAAATGAAACGACAAAGATTGCATGAATTGTGAAAGTACACACAAAGACAAGACGTATTTGTTTCGTTGTTGTTGGAGGGTTTTATTCAACGACATAGACCGAATTGTAAGTGACAGGTTGAATTTTATTCTTAAATTATTTATAAAAAAAAACATCCCTTTGCGTTTCTTTTTTTTTCTTTTTCAATTACACATTTTGAGAGAATTTTACGTATGGAACAAACACGGATTTTATGGGAAAAAAAATATTTTTTTATAATTAAAGATTGCAGAAACTTTTTTTTTCCTTATAAAGGACATCACATTTGATGTGAAATCTTTTACTATACATAAAATGGTTGATGATTGACGCTTTGTATCCTCTTTTATGTTTGGGATGTGTTTAAAAATTATAAAAATTTGATCTATATAAAATTATGCATATATATAAATATATATATATATATACAGAAATATTATACTGTTAACATACGATACAAGACCCGATTATCTTTCAGTGTTATGTTCGAGACTAACTAATGAGCATCTATTTAAAATGTCAAATACATTAAATTGACGTACGAATAGGCTCAAGTTGATACAAAGAATTCAGTAAATTATTTCGGAATGAATAATTCATAATCAATTAAAGTCACAAGAAAGGAACTTGCGGCTTAAGCTTTGGGGGCCGTGTTTCCCGTGATATAATATATATATATATATATGTGTGTGTGTGTGTGTGTGTATTTTAATTTCATACAGTACAAACAAAAGAAATGCTTAATGACGTGCATGTAAATTTGATGGTGACGTGAGAGATAGGGTTTCCAATAAATAATGAACTAAAACCAAACGAAAGATAACGAAACACTAAAGGAACCGACCCAATGTGTGTGTGTATATATATATATATATATATATATATAAAAAGATCACAACTTTTAATACCCCTTACTTTAATTTTCTTTGTAAATAGATCTAACAAGTTTAATCATTCAAACTACCAATAAAAAACGTTTTTTTTCCAAAGTGTTTTCTACCACTAGTTTCATAAAAGAGTGTTAAATTCAATCATTCAATTTTTTCCGGTTATTTTATAACATTTGAGATATGTTTTTCAAAGAGTTACACGTTTACACAAGATCCGTGGTGTAGTGACTGTCATGTTCGATTGCGTTTGTCTGAAAATAAATGATTTTGGAATAAAAACTAGAAATTTTATTATTTCAAATGGAGTAGCGTAATTGGAAAAAATAGGTGACGTCTTATTGAAAATCATAAATCCAAACCCACATGGAGAATTTTTTTTTTATATATATTGAACCTATCATAGTTTTGTATAATTTTTAATTTACCCAAAAAAAAACAGAAAATAATTAAGCCTGTTAAATCGGATTCCATTCCCATCACCACCCTTTTTGTCTGCCCTTTTGTATATTTATCATATGATGGGCAATGGATTAGGTGATGACTCAAACGTACCCACGCGTGAGTGGCCACTGAAATGACTATTTTATCCCCTTACTTACTACGGTCACATTTCCCGATAAACAGGGGTAATTCTGGAATTTCATTGGTCGTAAGTTTAATACAGTAAAAGTCAAAACAGAAAAAAAAATGTTTTACCAAAAAAAAAAAGGTTATGCAACAATGGAAGAGTAGCTTATAAGTAGATGCATTTGATGATACAACCTTCTTAAAGAACATCTTTTTTTAGCCAATGTGTTTATTTCTTCTTTTTTTTTTAATTAAAAGCTGAAGCTATTGAAGATTTGTGATACCGAATTTGAAGATTGAATTTCTTGTAACGATTGCATTGCAAATCTGTAAATGCAGAGTTTCATCCCTGCAAAAGTCAATAAAATTGGACGAGTTAAAACGCCAGTTGCATGATCCTTGTTTTTTTTTTTTTTGATAAACTGGAAGTTCACCGGATCTTTGGTCCCGACTACATCTCCCAGAGGACCGGGGAAGCCCATGTGAATGGCCCTCCCCACGCTTGGGTTTGAATCCAGGATGAGAGCATGCTTTGCATGTTCTCTCACCACTAGACTATCCAAGCTTGGGTATCCTTGTTTGTACATATTGTTTGGTATATCTGTTTCATGGTTCTTGGTCGGTTTCGAAGTGACGAACCTCTAATGGCATGGCAGAATCTGGTTTAATCCGGTTAAGCCTAACCGTACCGAGAATATACTCTGGCAACTCCGATTCTTCCTTTCCCTGCACTTGAACGTTTCTTTGTTTAGCGAATCCGAGTGATGATTGCATTAAACAGAGGAAGGAATTCTTGCTTGGGTAAAACTAGGTAGTAAATTTGGTAGATAAACGATCCAAACCGAATAACAAATAAGTCCGGAACCGAACAGAAAGGGATAGAAAATACCGAAACCGAACCAAATAAAAAAGATAGACCAAAAGTCCAAAACTTTCTTTGAAAAATAAATATTTTCATCAATAAAAATCGAAATTGAACCGAATTCGAGCATGAAATCACAGACCTCGATCAAGATGGCAAGATCAACAATCAGGCTTGTGACATATCCAAGAACAAGACCGATCACACTTCTTGCAACAGATGATGATCCAATATCTACATCGATCTGCAGCCATTGAAGATGACGAAAATAAGAAAACTTCTGTATCTTTGATGGAAACCCGAGTTCATCTCGGCTAAATAACAGGAGAAAATGCTAGAAACCAACCTCCAAGAAATTATCCTGCCTCAGGTACTTGCAGGTTACGGCTTTACCAAGCAAGCAAGCTTTTGTTCCAACAGCCCGCTTCACCATCCAGTATCCCTGTGTGATTATTACGAACCCACATTTTCTTACATCAAACTGAGATGAATCCAATTCAGAGACAAGAATACAAAGCGGAGTTTACTCACCTGAACAATGCTTGGGATCAATTTAAATCTCGAGTCTCGATACGTGTCACTCCCATCCACAAATTTTCCCAGCGATGAAGATTTATTTACCGGCCTGTCAGCAGCATAATATAGGACCAAACAATAGTTGGGTTTTGCTGGAATCTGGAAAAGAGAGAGAGAGAAACGTTTTAGACTCCCGAGAAAGCGGTTATAGTCTCATGTAAATGAAATAGTAGATGGATAAGTTACATAACACAAAATTATGAAAACCAACTAACCAAAAAGAAGATTTATAAAATGGCGGACTGATTTTGTTTAAAGCTTAGAATTCAGTTTCTGCATATGTTGGGGTGGTTTGAGGCATACTTTTGGACAAGGCCTTCATGTATAAAAGCTTATGTTGTGTAATATTCGAACCTGGAGATTGATGACGAGGATGAACGGTAGTTTTTTCGCAGCTTCGGACTGCAAATAACAAAAGTCCAAGTCAAGCAATTATACAAAAAACCAACAGTATCGATGAAGTAAATCATTATTGCTCGCTTCCTTCTTTATTTTCCAAATATTGACATATCATGGATATATGTAAACTAGTACCCGAACCTCAGCCACAAGACAGAGGAAAAACTGGTTAATCAAATCATCATTTGGCCATGGCAAGGTCTAAAGAAGTGTTATAAGATATTTGTTTGAAGAAAGAAATCTAGCTTTGGAGAACATTAAAAAACAGATCAATCTTTTTCGTGTAGAAGAAAGAGGCCATCAATGAATGATAATAGTTCTTCTCGGTCTGCTCAAATACAAAAGTAAACAATTAGGTAAAGTATGGCACCTGAACAAGACACTTGGGATGCAAAGCAATGTTATCTACGGCTTTATCAACTTTAAACCAATCTACTGCTATAAGTTTGAGAAGAGGCTCCCCACCCATCACCTGAAATTATATTATCAAAAAGACATATTACTAACAGTTCTACCGGAGTCCTTATTAAAGTGCATCACCAGTTCATCAGATTCAAGGACAATGTAGTTCAGAATCAGAAATCTGTCAAACCCATGCGGTAATAATCCTAAGTTTAGGGAATGAACATATAGAGATGTAAAGAAACTAAAGACAGGATATGAGAATAAGAACCAAAGGTGAAACTTAAGTGGGCATGTCGACGACATGAAGGCAGTAACATGGCAGGGGAAAGCACGCCCTTAATTCTTATAAATACAATCTCTAACAAATGTATGTTCAACTGTAAAACAAAATTAAAGGAGATGGAAAAGCTTAAACTTGTTATTTGTCCTTCATAGAGGAACCGAGAACACACCTTTGCATTATCTTTTAAATAAGTTTTTCCTCTGATCATAAACCCCATGCCACTAGGAGAACACCAGCAGTTTGAATCTTTGTCATCCAACCCTTTCTGCAGGGATCCTTGGAACTGACTTAGATCGATGGTCACAGGATCAACACAAGCATCCAACTCGTTGTTTGCACATGGAGCTAATATCAAATAGAGATGATATTATTACAGGTTTACAGCTCATTGCTTTTGGTAAAAAGAAGTAAACAGGAACATCAAGTTATTGAATCCTAAAGGAAAACACAACTCAATTCTTTTCTTTTCTATCATCACAAAATTCAAATCTGAACCACTTGCGAAAAAAAAAAAGTTGTGTAGGGAATTCTATACCTTGTT